TTTGCCTCTGTCTAGAAAAAAAAAAGGGAGGAAGATTTCTGGTGGGAAGTAGAAGCCTGTTTGTCTATATTCTTTAAACCCACCAGTGGTCACTACCCTGAGTATACCTTTGACCACAAACCAGGCCCCTGCCAGAAACCAGTGGTGGAATGGGAGCCAGTTCTCCCTTGTTCTGCCCCCAAGACACGCTGGTCCTTTTTTGTTTTTAGGGCTTTAATGCTGTTCACAGAGAAATGGATTGGGGAAACAAAGATTAAAGCAGGTGAAGTGACAAAAGTTGCACGATCTTAGAATTTGTCCAAGGCTGGAACCTTCATACAGTCAGTCCTCACTTGGTGGGGTATTGGCTGGCAAGGGTCGGGTCTGCGGAGCGCAGTGGAACTGTGGGCATTTTGGGGTGGGTGTGGTTTTGTGGAAAGGTGTGGGGGAGTTTTTTGATGGTTTTTTGGGGTCGGGGAGAATGGGTGTTTTGGTTGTATGGGTATGGGTTGGTTTTGGTTTTGGGTTTTCGTTTTGTTTTTGTGTTTGTTGGTATGGGTTTGATAAAGTTGGGGTGTTTAGGGGTTGGTGTGTTGTGTGTTTCTTTGTGTGTGGGATGGTTGTGGTGTGTGTGGTGTGGTGTTTGGGGTTGGGGTGTTGGTGTTTATGGGGGGGAATGGAGGGGGGTGAGTGTTTATGGGAGTTTTAAGGTGGTTAGGGAGGTTAGGTCATGTTTTGTGTATCCGTGCATGTTGTATGGTAGACTACAACTATGTTACGGTTTTTGGTAGTTGTTGCGGGGGTTACGGGCGTGATCTTGTTATAGGATTATCAGAGATATATATAATTTATACCTCTTATAATTATAAATTACATCGGCTGCTATTATGAGAATGAAAAACTTGAAACAACTTAAATGTCTTTTAATAGGAAATAAATCAGAATATAATTATATAATCTAGAATATGAAATGCTAAGTGATCATTTTTTAAAAAGTACTATTACAGAAGTGCATTTGTTGAAATGGAAAAATATTATGGTGCATCCTATATGTTTAAAAAGAGAGAGGAGGACTATTTTTATTAACTAAATTTCTTTAATTATTAAAAAAAGGGAGGGAGGGTGCAAAATTTTCTGTACAGTACAATCCATTTCTTGATGTGAAAAATAAATTTTCTGTACCTGGCACTGAGGTACATTTGTGCATTATCTAATTTAATTTTCAAGGCTTTGGAAAAATTAAAAAACTGTTCCACTTCATAGAAACATGAGGACTCCAGGAGAAAATAATGCAAATATTGTCCAAGGTAGAAAGGAGAGGGAGTATTACATCTCCACTAGGTAGAGCAATATGCCTTATGAGCTCAGGAACCTGGAAAGGACGATTCCCCTGAGAAGGTCTGGGGTTGGGACATGTGCAATTCGAGAAGCCTGTGAGTAAGAGGGGGAGGGAATGGGTAAATGGTCAACAGTTGGGGACAGATGCATCTGGAAGGTCAGCTGCTGGCATCCAATCTTTCCCATGTCATCATTTTGATGCTCCCTTCCTGAGTCAATCCAATGAGTGGGCAAAGGATAATGTCACAGGGACTTTTCTTTGCAATAGATCAGAATGGGGAGCAGAACCTCAGGAATGTAAGATGGGACTAATGATTTCTTCTGGAGTTTAAAAGGGTCACTGTGTTGTAAGAAATCCTGAGCTCTCTGAGTCCCAACTACTTCACTACTGGACAAAGAACATTTTGCTCATCTTTTTACTGAACTCCCTACATCAAGCAGGTAAGGACCTGCCACATTGTAGGAAATGCCATCCTGTCCCTTCCCTATGGATAGCTATTCAACTTAAACCCAGAGGAAGCAGAAGCACCAGCCCCATCTTTGGGACTCCTCTGATGTGAAGATTGTCAGGTCACACTTCTACCTCAAAAGCCACCACTGTTCCTGCTCCAGCCAGAGTTCCAGTGGTATATCTGGATGTCAAGAGGGCAGAAGCAAAGCAAAGCAGGTTTAGGGGCTTTGTGTTTGTAACTCCCCGTGGGGCTGGGACAGATGAGGGATCTCTGGGTACCCAAGCAGGTTATGGCAAGGCCTCCCTAATGCTACTGCAGCATCTTGCATTTCTAGGGCCAATCCAGGAAAATGGGGGCTCTGGATTTTAAGGTTCTGACAGACCAGAGCAAACCCTGTACTCTGAATCCTTGGTGGGGAATTTGGAAGAGATATTGGCTCACAGAGATGGTGACAGAAGAAAGAGAGGGCAGGGAACCAACCCACCAAAACCGTGGGCATGAGTCTCCCACTCCTCAGCAGAGATGGCAAGAACTTAAGCCTTGGCATATCACCTGGAAATGACTTGCAAAGGAAGCACTTTGATTTGCCTTTGATTTGATTCAGGCAAAAGGCCACGCCAGGAGTGAATGTACTCCTCCAAATGCTGTCTACTGTCAGCCTATCTGGAAAAAAGTGTCCAGCTGCATATTAGTCTATACCTGTGTGGTTTTATTCAGATAATTGACAGAGAATAAGTGGATATTAATTTTTCCTGTCAAGTCATTTTCTGTCAAGACAGGTCAGGTGGAAGCACACTGTAGGAAATGTTTTCCATTTCCCTTCACAACCACAGGGCTGAGCATAGGCCTGGCACAGGTTAGGTCAAAAGGAGATTGATGGTGAAGGGACCCTCACCTGCCTGGCTCCTCCTAAAGCCCAGGGAGGGGTCCCTGCAATGTGTTCACTAGCCATATGCTTTTGTCAACTTTGCAAAAGTAAATAGTTTCAGCCACATTTGGCTACCACTCTGGTCTCTTTGCACTGCCACCTTACAGGCTCTAAATCTTGCATCAGTGGCATTAGAAAGGCCATTAGCACTCTCAGGATCTGGCTAAGGAGAAGCTGAGTCAGGAGAAACTTAGTTGAAAGTGGTAGTATGTACTTATGTGGTTTGAGGCACTAAACCACATAATTAATTTACTGCTAGCCACCTTGGGGTCATTACTGTGTCTTCTCCTCCCACCCGCCCCCGCCCCTGTGCCAGCTCACTCTACTTGGTGACGTGAAGGTGCAGAACCCAAGGTCACATTATGTTATCAATGTGTCCTATAGCACCTGGCATTGACATATGTGGGTGGATGGATGTGAAACAAGTTTTGAAATGTATGGGGCCAGAAGCAAGTCTGTGGATGATCTGACAATCATCAGATACACAAAATTGCCAGAGAAGATTTGGTTCTTAGGATATGCAGGCAAGATGGAAGTTGTCTCCTATCAAGAATATAATTAATAATGCACATGATACACTTATAAATACAGCATGCATTCAAAAATTTTTTGATAGAAATCAAGTACAAGAGAATTCCTGTTTGCAGGGCACGAATCGATAGCAGTGTTACAGTCTGTGTGTGACGGCATGATGATGTAGCTCAACTAGCAGTAATTAACAAATAAATTTGGACTAACCAATGATAGAAAAGTGACTGAATTATTTTTCCTTCTCTTTATAAAATGAAGAGGTGATCAAAGAGTACCCAACCTTCACTTAAAGAAAAAGAGTCTGCAAGCATAAAATGTGGGGGGAGAAGTATGACAGGGGGCTGTGAGAAAGTGAAATAATAAAAATGGCATGCTATACTTTGGAATTTGTGGCATCTTGTGGTGTTTATTTCTTTTTTTTTTTTTAATTTGTAATTTGTTGAGGTTTTTTTTTTACCAAGTTAAGAATATTCTCTTTCATACATGATTTTGTCTTCCTACTTCTATGCTCTTTTTCCTTAAAGAGGACACCTGCTTCTTTGGGAAACTTTCCTGAATGGGAGTTGCCGTACTTGCTGCCCTGATGGGTGGGAGCTGGGCATTTGGCACATGTTGTACCAATTAGAGCTCTTCCCTGGAATTTTAAAATGCAAGAGCAGCCAGAGCGGTATGCACCTGCTTTGGGAGAGAAGTGTGCGGACTGCCAGCAGCCTGTCTGCACTCCTGCGTGGAAGTCCATCTGTGACAATGAAGCACAGCCACCAGCAGTGTGATGAAGAAACAGCGCCATCTTCAGACGAGGCAAGGAGAGCCCCCCACCCCTAGGCTGGGGCTCCAGAGGGCTCCTCTCTGCTTTCTCTGGGGAAGGAGTCTGTGGGGCCAAAGAGGGTATGGTATGTCCACCTCAAGTCTGTGTGCCTCTCCCCTTTGAGGGCCATGAATTCTCTGCCCAAATGGCCCTGGGCCTTTTCCAGAGGCTCCTTGGATCTCTTCCCCAGGTGTGCCCTGCTAAAGGCAGACCATGATGCAGGTGCACACACATAGGCCTGAGGATGGCCAAGTATCAACTATGTGGGGAATCTGGTGTGTGGTGTGTGTGTGTGTGTGTGTGTGTGTGTGGGCAGGTGGGTGCGGAGCTTGGATATGCAGGCTGGGGTATCCACATTCATGTATGTAAGACCATTTGTGATCTGGAGCAAAGTTTGAGGTGGGAAGAGAAGCAGAAGGCCACAGGCTATGGGTCAGCCCTCCTTGAGTGGGTTCCAAAACATAACCTTGAACAGTGAGAGAATTCTAAATTCAAACCTAGCCTTCCAGGTAGAATGATCAGAACATATTTAAGAGTCTGTAAGTTTCATTTATAAATCTCCAATATTTAGACATCCAGTGTGTGGGGATCCATTTGTATTCTTGCCTTGCATTTCACAAACATCAGGAGAAGGCCTTTGTAGAAGCAAGAGAAGAAAAAGTCCCAGTGGCATCTGAGTCCCTGGCTCAACACGTTCCTGATGCATGATGCACCTTGCCTTTCTCTTGCCCTGATCTTGCACATTAATAAAGAACACATTATTGCCTGAGCTAATCTGGATTTATGTAACTTTGATTGTGAATCCTAGCTGATATTGACAGTAAACTAGGCTCTGATTCGGAGTCCCACGTTTCCACATAGTTTACACCAGCTGCCTAACCACCTGTCCAGCTGCAAGCCAAGCAAATCTGGCTGGTACTCCTGCATGGAAAAGTCTGAATCCAAGGAAAAGAGTTTTACCTACCTGACTCCAAAAAACACTTGCAGGAGAGTGCAGATGCCAGAGACGAAGAAAATCGTGCTGATGAGGTAGCTCTGAGTCAGTGGGTCATGCTGCAGACACAGGTCCTTGGCCAAGATGAGTGGTATGGCTACGAGGCCCCCCAGAGCCGTGAGGAAGTGCTGTGGGCAGAGCAGAGAGAGTGGACAGGTGGCAAGTACATGCTGTGACTGCCTGTTCCACCCTCATTTCCATTGGCGTTGCCCTGCCAGAGGGAAAAACGCTACCTCTGGTCTCAGAGGAGCCTAAACAGAAGTAAGAGGCAGGCATCCAGATGAGCCATGGAAACAAAGAGACCAGGGAGCAAAATACAGACCCAGACTGAGGGTCTGGGATTCAAGTGCAGAATCCTAACACTAGAAACTGATATCTTAGGTAAGAAACCCAGGCAGGAACACAAAACAGGGGGACATGATGGGAAGCAAAGAGGTGGGCTTCAGAATAAACAGAGTGCCGCCCACCCAGCCACTGCATGGAGCCCAGCCTCACAGCTCCAGTTGCCTAGCTCACAGCCTCCAGCTGTAGTCACCTAGACACTTTGGGGGTTCTGGCCTAGGACTAGTGGTTCAATGCCTATGTTGCTAACACTGCTGCCCTGCTCCCATACCCCCTTAGAACTGGCCTGCCTGGGTCCCACTAACACCATGGAGAGCAAGCACAGCCTACAACAGGCAGAGGGCAGTGTAGATGACTGCACTGAAAGGAACAGTGACTCAGACACAACAGCAGGGCATTAGCAACACAGGAGACTCCCTTGAAGTGCCAGGTCCTGGCGAACAGGGCACACTGCATGGCAGGGCACTAAGGACCTCCACTTCATAAAGGCACTACTGTCAAGAGCAAAAGTCATAGCTGACTTTCTTACCACAGAGAGACAGACACAGAGAGGCAGACAAAATGAGGAGACAGAGAAATTTATCCCAAGTGAAGGAATAGGACAAGGCCACAGCCAGAGACCGACGTAAAACAGATATAAGTAACATGCCTGATAGAGAATTTAAAGCAATGATCGTAAGGATACTCACTATACTTTAGAAAGGGGTGGAAGAGATGAGTGAGATCCTTAACACAGAGCTAAGGAAGAACACAGCTAAGATAAAGGGCTCAGTAAACAATGAGGAGCACATTTGATGGGATGAATAACAGAATAGAAGAAGGAGAGGAAAAAATGAGTGACCTCGAAGACAGAGTCATGGAAAGCAATCAAGCTGAACAAAAGAGAAAAAAATAATTACACAAAACAAGAATGGACTTAGGGAACTCAGTAACTCCATCAAACATAATAATATTCATATTATAGATGTTCCAGAAGAAGAAAGAGAAAAGGGGGCAGAAAATATATTTGAAGAAATAATAGTTGAAAATATTCCTAATCTGAGAAAGGAAACAGGCATCCAAATCCAAGAGGCTCAAAGAACTCCTACAATATCAACAAAAGCAGACCCACACCAAGGCATAGTATAATTAAACTTGTAAAATATAGGGATAAAGAAAAAAATCTTAAAAGCAGCCAGACAAAATAAGTCTTTAACTTACAAGGGAAAATCCATAAGGCTAGCAGGAGATTTCTCAACAAAATCTTGGAAGCCAGAAGGGAGTGGCATGATATCTTCAAAGTGCCGAACAGGAAAAATCTGCAGCCAAGAATACTCTATCCAGCAAGCCGATCATTCAGAATACAAGGAGAGATAAAGCGTTTCCCAGACAAACAAATGAAAGGAGTTTGTGATGACGAGACAGCTCTGCAAGAAATATTAAAGGGGATGCTTTGAGTGGAAAGGAGAGATCAAAAGTGAAAGTATAAAGGCAGGAAACCAAAAGCAGTAATAATGAGTATTTCCATAAAAAATCAGTCAGGGAACTCACACACACAAAATATATATAAAATATAATAACGTATGCCTAAAACATGGAGAAAAGACGGGTTCAAAACTTAAATGACCATCAACTTAATATAGACTGCTATTTGCAGAACAGGTTATATACAAACTTAATGGTAACTATATATCAAAACCACTAACAAGCATGCAAAGAATAAAGAGAAATAAATTGGAATATTTCACTAAGGAAAATCAGCAAATTATGGCAGAGAGAAAGGATCAGAGGAAAGTCTTCAGAAACAATGACAAAACAAGTAATAAAATGGCAATAAATACATATCTATCAATACTTATTTTGTAAATGGAATAAACACTTAAAAGACATAGGGTGTCAGAATGAATTTAAAAAAAAAGACTCACCTAAATGTTGCTTAAAAAGTGACTCATTTTAGATCTAAAGACACCTGCAGATTGAAAGTGAGGGAATAGAGAAATATCTATCATGCAAATGGATGTCAAAAGAAAGCTGAGGTGGGGGGGCACCTGGGTGGCTCGGTCAGTTAAGCATGTGACTCTTGGCTTTGGCTTAGGTCATGATCTCAGAGTTGTGAGATCAAGCCTCTCATCAGGCTCCACACTCAGTGAGGAGTCTGCTTGAGGATTGTCTCCCTTTGCCCTTCTCTCTGCTTGCGCTCTCTCTAAAATAAATAAATCTTTTTTTTTTAAAAAAGAAGCTAAGTAGTACTACTTATTTCAGATGAAATAAACTTCAAAACAAAGACTGTAACAAGAGACAAAGAAGGACACTATATAATAATAAAAAGAACAGTCTAACAAGAAGATATAATGATTGTAAATATTTATGCACCCAAATATATATAAACAGTTAATAACAATAGAGGAACCTAATCAATAGTAATACAATAATAGTAGGGGACTTTAACACCCCAATTACATCCACAGACAGATCATCTAAAAAGTAAATCAACAAGGAAACAATGGCTTTCAATGACAAGGGACCAGATGGATTTAACGGATATATTCAGAACATACCATCTTAAAACAGCAGAATACACATTCTTTTCAAGTGCACAAGGAAAATTCTCCAGAATTAGATCACATAACAGAATAGGCCCACAAAACAAGCCTCAACAAATTCAAGAAGACCAGAGTCCTACCATGCATCTTTTCTGATCACAGTACTATGAAACTAGAAGTCAACCACAAAAACAAACAAACAAACAAACAAAAAAAAACTGGAACGATAATACACGGATATTAAATAACATTACTACTAAACAGTGAATGGGTCAACCAGGAAGTAAAAGAAGAAAAAAGAAGTACATGGAAACAAATGAAAATGAAAACACCACAGTCCAAACCTCTGAGATTCAGTAAAAGTAATTCTAAGGGGGAAGTTTATACCAAATACATGCCTATTTCAAGAAGCAGGAAAAGTCTCAAATAAATAATCTAACCGTACCCCTAATGGAGCTAGAAAAAGAACAGCAAGCAAAACCTCAAACCAGCAGGGAAAAAATTTCAATAATAAAGATTAGAGCAGAAATAAATGAAAAACTTTAAAACACACACACAGACACAAAAAAATAAATAAATAAAACACACACACACACAATAGGTCAATGAAACCAGGAACTGATTCTTTGAAAAAAAAAAAAAAGAAAAAGAAAAAAAATCAATGAAACTGATAAACCTCAGGCCATATTGATCAAAAAGAAAAGAGAAAGGTCCCTAATAAATAAAATCATAAATGAGGGAGGACAAATAGCTACCAACACTATAGAAATATAAACAATTGCAACAGAATATTATGAAAAACTATATGCCAACAAAATGAACAACCTGGAAGAAATGGATAAATTCCTAGAAACACAAAATACCACAACTGAAACTGGAAGAAATAGAAAATTTGAGCAGACTGATAACCAGCAAAGAAATTGAATCAGTAAGCAAAAAACTCCCAACAAACAAAAGTCCAGGACCAGATGGCTTCCCAGGTGAATTTGAACAAACATGTAAAGAAGAGTTAATACCTGTTATTCTATAACTATTCCAAAAATCAGAAAAGGAAGGAAAACTTCTAAATTCTTTCTATGGGGCCAGCATTATCCGGATACCAAAACCAGATAAAAACTTCATTAAAAAGAACTACAGGCCAACATCCCTGATGAATATGGATGCAAAAACCCTCAATAACATACTAGGACACTGAATTCAACAATATAGTCTAAAAATCATTCACTGTGATCAAGTGGGACTTACTCCTGGGTTGCAAGGGTGGTTCAGTATTTCCAAATCCATCAGTGTGATACGTTACATCAGTAAGAGAGGATAAGAACTATCTGATCATTTCAATAGATGCAGAAAAAGCATTTAACAAAGTATAGCTTCCATCTGTGATAAAAGCGCTCAATGAAGTAGAGTTGGAGGGAACATACCTCAACATAATAAAGGCCATAGATGAAAAACCCACACTTAATATCATCCTCAGTAGGGAAAAATAGAGAGCTTTTCCCATAAGGTCAGGACCAGGACAAGGATGTCTAATCTCACCGTTTCATTCACCATAGTACTGGAAGTCCTAGCGACAGCAATCAGACAAGAAATAAATGGCATCCTAATTGGTAAGGAAGTAGTAAACTTTCGCTATTTGCAGATGATATGACATCATATATAGAAAAGCTGAAAGACTCCACCAAAAAACTGCTAGAACTGATAAACAAATTCAGTAAAGTCGCAGGATACAAAATCAATGTACAGAAATCTGTTGCATGTCTATACACCAATAGTCAAGAAGCAGCAAGAGAAACTAAGAAAAACAATCTCATTTACAGATGCACCAAAAGTAATAAGATGCCTAGGAATAAATCTAACCAAAGAGGTGAAAGACTTATACTCTGAAAACTATAAAACAATGATGAAAGAAAATGAAGAGGACACAAAGAAATGGAAGGACATTCTATGTTCCATGCTCATGAATCAGAAGAACAGGTATCAGTGAAATGTCTATACTACCCAAAGCAATTTGCACACTTAACGCAATCTCCATCAAAATGCCAACAGTGTTTTTCACAGAACTAGAACAACCAATCCTAACATTTGTATGGACCTACAAAAGACCCCGAATAGCCAAAGCAATCTTGAAAATGCAAAGCAATTCTGGAGGGGCATGCCTGGGTGGCTCAGTCAGTTAAATGTCTGCTTCTGGATTTTGGTTCAGCTCATGATCTCAGGGACATGAAATCGAGCCCTGGGTTCAGGCTCTGCACAGCGTGTGGAGTCTGGTAAGAGTCTCTCTCCCTCTCTCTCTGCCCCTTCCTCCTCCCACTCCAAACAACAACAACAAAAAACAAAAAAAACAAAAAAACAAAAACAAAAACAAACCAACAAAAAAACCAAGAAGAAAGAAGAAAGAAAAGCAAAGCTCTAAGCTTTGCTTCCAGACTTCAACTTATATGACAAAGTGTAGTAATCAAAACAGTGTGGTACTGGCACAAAAATAGACATATGGATCAATGGAACAGAATAGAAAACCCAGAAATAAACCCACAACTATATATCACTTAATCTTTGGCAAGCTGGAAAGGATATCCACTGGGAGAAAAATAGTCTCTTCAACAAATGGTGTTGGGAAAACTTGACAGCAGCATTTGGCTTTCTTAAATTCAAAAATAGGTCCTTACGGTTTTCTGAGTCAGTGAAGATAGATCTATGTTATTCATATTATCCATTTTATTGGTTCATAATAATATTTTTAAGTAGTATGACACTGGCTTTTCTTACTTCATAGGAAAGCGCTAAGAAGTAAATAAAAAGTGTGTCCCATCTCTGATAGCCCATGTTGAGTTTGTAAAATGAAAAGAAGCACATCTATGAGTCTGGAAAATTCATGTCACAAAAAGTTACAAAATTGAAAGTGAAAGTGGAAAGCCACCTTCCCTTTCCTGGTTCTTTTTTCCAAAGCTAAATACCTCAATTAGTTTCTTATGAATCCTTCAAAACCACAAATTACTTCTATCTCTCCCTCTCTCTGTTTTTTAACACAAAAGATAACAGTATATACACAGTTATTTACTTTGCTTCTTTCGCTTACTATCCATTGGGGAATATTCCCCAACAGCAAGATAAATGTGTTTTTTTTTTCTCTTTTGAACAGCTGCACACAAAAGTCATCTGTTGGGTTGTGTTACAACTTGTTTAACCAGTTCACTTTGAAGGATATTTGGATTGTATTTACCGTTTTGCTAATTTGTTGTGTGGTTTGACGTTACTATCGCCAATGATCTTACAAGAACATCTTGGTACTGTTGAGATGTTGTGCATCTTCAGTCCTTGCCAGTGTATCCACAGAGAAATTCTTAAGCACTGGGGACTGGGCTAAAGGGCCTGTGATTTACATGTTGATGGAAACTACCAAAGGCCATCCAGAAAGGTTGCATCAAAAAATGTTCCAACCATTCATCTTTCGATGGGCACCAAGGCTCCTTCCACAGTTTGGCTATTGTGGACATGGCTGCTAGAAACATCGGGGTGCAGGTGCCCTGGCGTTTCATTGCATCTGAATCTTTGGGGTAAATCCCTAACAGTGTAATTGCTGGGTCGTAGGGCAGGTCTATTTTTAACTCTTTGAGGAACCTCCACACAGTTTTCCAGAGTGGCTGCACCAGTTCACATTCCCACCAACAGTGTAAGAGGGTTCCCTTTTCTCCGCATCTTCTCCAACATTTGTTGTTTCCTGCCTTATTAATTTTCCCCATTCTCACTGGTGTGAGGTGGTATCTCATTGTGGTTTTGATTTGTATTTCCCTGATGGCAAGTGATGCCGAGCATTTTCTCATGTGCGTGTTGGCCATGTCTATGTCTTCCTCTGTGAGATTTCTCTTCATGTCTTTTGCCCATTTCATGATTGGATTGTTTGTTTCTTTGGTGTTGAGTTTAATACTCAGCCATTAGAAACGACAAATACCCACCATTTGCTTCAACGTGGATGGAACTGGAGGGTATTATGCTGAGTGAAGTAAGTCAATTGGAGAAGGACAAACAGTGTATGTTCTCATTCATTTGGGAAATATGAATAATAGTGAAGGGGAATATAAGGGAAGGGAGAAGAAATGTGTGGGAGATATCAGAAAGGGAGACAGAACATAGAGACTCCTAACTCTGGGAAATGAACTAGGGGTGGTGGAAGGGGAGGAGGGTGGGGGGTGGGGGTGAATGGGTGACGGGCACGGAGGGGGACACTTGACGGGATGAGCACTGGGTGTTATTCTGTATGTTGGTAAATTGAACACCAATAAAAATTAATTTATTAAAAAAAAATGTTCCAACCAAAGTGTTTGACAGTCCTTGTTTCCCCAAATTCCCCCCAAGCACTGGTTATCACATTTTTTTAGTTGTTGCAAATCAAATAAATTGAAACTGGTATCATGAAAATGATGCAGTCAGGTTCCTTGATATGACCCATCAGCTTAGCATGAGAGAGAATCTTCTGCTAAGTCCTACCACCCTCACCTCCACACCCCTGAGAAAAAGAGACACATGGAGCTTTGAGTTCCCCTGTAGGTCAACTACATGGAAGACAAGAATATGAGTAACCAAAGTTGGGGAATCTTGACTAATTTGGCCTGGGTGTGATCAGTGTTACTTTTGAGGCAGTCTAGTGTCTTCGGACCCAGTGCTCGCTGGGTGGCATTACCTGGATCCCCATGAGGATGCAGAGATACCATGGTGGGATATCCAGGATGCTATAGATCAGCTGGCTGCTGCTAGGGCTCCTGGACTGCCCATCCTTCTTCCTGCCTTGGCCTTCGTTGTCACAGTTGAGCACATCGTCACCTCTCTGCTGGGAACAAGAGAAGACACACTTAGGCATTTTAAGAGGAATCAATGGATTTCCTGATTTCACCTGGATAGGCGAATGGCCTGCCAGGGGGAAGAGGCAATAGGACAGGGTTAACAGCTGGCCAGTCTGGGATTCTTAGGTCCAGACTCAAAACGCCAGTGATTTTCTGAACTGTACATCTAGGTGGGCCTGCATGTGAAGTCTGGAGCCCTGCAAGGGGAGTGGCTGCTTGGCCTGAAGCCCTTTGCAGACAAGCAACCTTGGGCAGGAGGGGTGGGGGCCAACTCCAAGGTCAGAAGATGGGCAGATTTCCCTCCCAGACCGGTAAATGGGGCTCCTGGGCCCAGAATGGTACAGCTCCCACTGGCCCTGTGTTTACGTCTGCCAAAGCTCTCCTCACAGCCTTTTTGTTATAACGGACAGTTCCCTTCTCCACCTCTTGGGTTGGGCTGGGAGTTCCGTGAATGCGTTAATCATGCCTTACCCGCCTGTGTAGTCCCAGCTGCTAGAGCAGCCGACACTTGTGTTGGGTGTAGACCGACCGAATGGATGGATGCGGCAGGCAAATATCAACGGCTACAGTGCCCACCTGCCTGGGGCTGACAGGAGGTGGCTCTGGTGCAGTGACGGCAACCTCGGGAGGGTGGGTCCTGGGGGGAAGAGGACCCCTGCCCTTCTGACTGCACTCGCATCCCACCCAGCCTCCAGCCCCCCACCTGGCCCTCTGGGTTTGTTTCCTAACACCCCCACCAACCTGGCTCTAGGCAATGGGGTGGTCCAGGTTTCTCCAAATGCAGCCTTCATTATCCTGGGTCGGTGCCTCAGCTCCCCCTGCGGCCCCCACTCGAGCCCCCTGCTTCCCCTACCCTCTTGCGGCTCCCCAAGCTCAGAGCCTCCTCCCCACCATCTCCCCTGACCTCCCACACCCATATGCTTTTCTTCCCCAGTAACTCCCAGCACTCTGTGTCCTGTTACGGAATTCATGTTTTCTCTCTTGTACCAGAACATTCCTGCATGCCCTGCTCTCCCCCAGCTAGGCCATAAGGGCCAGGAAGCTATCTTCCCCTTGCTAATACTTCTCCAAGTTCCTGGCAGAGCAAAATGCATGCAAAGCCAAAAACATCTCAGGGAAGTGGGCCCTGGAAATGAAGAGAAGACCGACCACTGAAGGAGGGTGGGTCCAGGCCCAGACCCAACACTCTCCAGGGCGCTGCAGGTAAACCAAAACGTGGGAGTCCCCCAAGGATTTCCCAAGACTTTTGCTTTCTTCTGTTTTGTTTCATTTCATGACAGTAGGGCGGAAAGAATTCTGGAGAAGGAAGAAGAGACATCTCTGCAGGGCCTCCCACAATTTCCTGGAAAAGAGGGCCAGCCTCCATCTCTTCCCCAGAAGGCTGGGCAACGGTGGGCAGGGGCTGGCCGCCCGGGCCGGAGGGAAATCTGAGAACCCCAGGGAGGAGGGTGCCACCCCCCCACACACACACACCCGCCAGGGCTGCAGCCCCAGCCTGGTGCTGAGGAGCTCTTCCCCCCCCATGGTGGCCATTGGCAAGCACCAGAAGGGCCCCAGTCAGTCCACTGTGCTGCATTACAGCGCTCAGAAATAGGTTGCGAAGGTGGTGGGGCCAGGGCTCACAGACCGGCCCCGAGATGCCTCCAGAGGGGTGACTGTCACTTTACTTCTCTGGGCCTCAGCTTCCCCATCTGAGAACAGAAGCACCTGTGTCATTGGCTTGGAAAGAAGGAAATAAAGCACATGAAATGCCAGGGGTGAATTGGCTGGTTGGTAAATATTAGCTCGCTCTCTTTCTCAGATGCCCTCTCTCTTTCCTTTTGCTTTGTTTCAGAAAGTCCTTCTGATCAAAGAAATGTTAACACTGAGAAACTTGGAAAACAGATACTCAGAGATTTGGATTCAGCAGCGACCGACCTGTGAATAAAGGTTAAACCAAAGAGGATCTTCCAACTCTTCCCCGTTGCTTTAGGATTTGCCCATCAAGGTTAGTGCCCCTGGAGGAGTTTTTGCCCTCATGATGGAGGTTGTGGGGGCAGCTGCACACCTATCTAACCACTTTAAGTCTCTAGAACGTGAGCCACCATCCTGAGCATGAATCAATTAGGGCTCTGGGACTCCAGGCTGGGGCCCCCTCCAGGCCTTTCTTCCATTCTGCTCCCGTCCCCACTCGTTTTTCCCTCTCTTTTAGCAGCACTCACCAGAGGGTCGGGGTGCTCACAGCTGGTGATGGTTAAGCTCATGGCAACCCAGGGTCTGCCCGTTTTGGCCTCGTCTCAAGATAGAAGCGAAGGGAACCCGCTCCGGTCGAAAGAGATTGACGTCTCACGGCCTGCCAAAATGGAGAGAAAGACAAGGATCCTGGGCTGGCTCTGGGAGGGGTGGGGCTTCCAGACTTCTCTTGCCCCCTCCAATCATCATGGAGACCAAGGTGCACTCAGGTGCAGCAAATGTTTCATAATTAATAAGTGTGAAGGAGTGTGGAGAGGTTAATGATCCTCTATGACACTAGGGGAACGAATCAGGTACAGCCTTTTGGGAGTGGCATGGGAGTACTTTCTGAAAGCCTGATTCCGGGAGGCTGGAGAGGAGGAGTGGTGATGAGGGTGAGGCTCTGGGCTGAAAGCACAGGCTTAGCAGTCTCTTAAAGTTGATTATTAATGACTAGTTGAGCTGAAGAAATAGTCCAACCAGCCTGGCCTCTGAGATGCAATAATGTAGTCATCATAAGACAAAGGGCATTCCTGTTAATCTGGGAGATACTGCCAAGGTACACTGATAGAGCACAGCCTATCAATGGCTTCTTAGATAGATAGATAGATAGATAGATAGATAGATAGATAGATAGATAGCCTCTATCTATCTGAGAAGAGAATGCCTCTAAACCTTACGTGTCTATATTCCTAACACCCAGAAATATCTAATAGCCCACTCTTCAGAAAGAGAGATCCGGGAGGGTGTACTCTTGCTCTTACTCTGCACAGGACCCTCCTCAGATACTCTGAATAAACTTCCCCTCCGTGAAGTCCAAAGCAAGCCAAGTACCAGCTACTCCTGGTCGCAGAATGTTCTGGAATGGGTGGAACTGGGTCCCAAGGTTCAGGAAACGCATGGTGGGATGCACGTAGACATCAGTGGATGATGATCCAAGGAAAAACACAACAACGAGATGTTTGACAAGCCAGTGGGGTGGCAGGTGGGTGGGTGCAGGGGACAGCACTGAGTTGGGCTAGGACAGAAGAGCCAGCCATGAGTAGCCGACATTAGTGAATAATTAGCCACGTACACTGTGCTACACCTTTTTTGTATTTCCTTGTGCAACATTCACAACAAATTAGCACTCACATTCTTCTTTCACTGATTAAGAAATTGAGATGTTGATGGGCCTGGTAAGCTTTCCACTCAAGGTTCATAACCCATGTAGGAGCTGAGAGTCGAGCCCAGACAGTCTGGTCCCACAGCCTACAGGGGCCAAGGAGATCTTCACGGAGACATGACCTCTGGGTCTGAAGGTGTCTGACGAGGCCCGTGGGGAGATGGCCCAGAGAGCACGTCCACAGATTGGGGCTTCCCCACACTACCCCTGAAGGCAGAAACGTAGGTCCTCTGCAAATGGCACCCAGGGGCCTCGAGTTCACCTCAGGAGTGAAGGTGAGACTGCTTAGCTTTGGGACGGCATGGGCTCCCACCTCTGCTGAACACACTAGATGCGCAGTTCCCAGCTGGGCGAGTCATGAGGTGGAGACAGAGATCAAGGGCCACCGTTCATGTGGCTCTCTGCAGCGAGCAGTGCAGGCTCGTTGCTCCAGGAAGGCAGGCCTGGCAAGTGGGGGGCAGCGTGGGGGGCTGCCCACCACAACCCCTACCCTCACAGATCTGGAGACATGGGCAAATTTGGGCTCGTGTCGGACATCTCTTGTCCCTGTCACCTTCTGGGATAACACGGAAGAAGGTGACTTCTCAAAGTCTCTGTCTTCCTCCACATGGAAGGTCCTGCCTTTCTTGGCTATGCCTCCCCTGCTGATTGTTAAGGTGTAAACAAGAATATCCCCTATGGTGTGAGGTAAGATGCTTAGCTCCACAATTGAGGTAAAGCAGAAAGATGGTCTACGGTTACCCACCTGGTTTGGCTGCCTAATCAGTATGTGCCAGAACCTTCCTCACTCTTTAAGTCCCCTCCTCTGGGCCTGACACTCTTTGTCTCACATGGTTCCTTGTATAAGTCCTTTGGCTTGCGGGCCACTGCTGCTGTCCCTGTAGCCCCTACCTCCCTCAGCAGCTCAGATGACGAGCCAAGCCATCACTTCTCCTTCTCCTCTACCTTCCACCCCTCAGAAGTCACTTCTACAGACTATGGTCCCTCCGCTCATCATTGCCTGGGCCTGGCTTCTGCTGCCATGAATTACTCTAAAGCTAGTGTGGTATTGCACGACCCTTCCAGAGTTGCAGCTGCCCCAGCGGGTGGCCTTGTCCCCCCTCACCACTGCAATCATGCTGCCATCCCATACACACACCGGCTTGGGGTTTTCCACCCACAGCACATTTACATGGGATTATTTATAACCCCTGTGTTTCAAGCTCTCATAATTAGCCCCAAACAATGAGAGAAATTTAAGAATATGGGGCCTCTCTGGGAACCCACTGATCTTTCCTCAGGCCCATGAAAGAATAAAAGTTCTAACATTATATTTTCACACCTACACATCTAATCCCAAAGTTGAAGCAGCTCCTCAGGCTCCAGGTACTTTGGGAGGAGAAAGGCATTGGGCCTCTTCGTATATAATGCACGTGGCCCCCTGGATGCACCATCTTCATATGTGGAGTAGGCCATGCGGGAAGGCTTGACCTGGACATTTGCACCACTGCAGATAAACTGGAAGTCAGTTATTTTAGGAGGGAATATGCCAAGAGACGGCTGTGAGGCTAATCACACCCGACACCAAGAATGAAGGAGGCCAAAACTTCCTCAAGAGAAGGTCAAACAAAACCAAAAGTGTAGCTCTTGGTTTAGCCATTCAGAACCCATCTAGTCTTTCCTCGTTTTCCTCAGAGAACCATTGTGATCCACAGCAAGCAGTCCACAAACCTTCAAGCAGAGTTTCCTCTGCCCCGTGGCTGCCTGGATGAGGGTGAAGGCCAGGAGGAAGCCCTGCTAACCCCTGGCCACAGCCTTGGACTAGCCAGGGGCATGGGACCCAGCTAGTGCCAATGATAGACAATGAGATTTGCTGGGACTTTGGGAAGAGACATGTTCTCTTTTTCACTGGACTTGAACCTGGAGGATGCTGCTCTGCATGATGTCATAGAGCCTGCAAAGGAAGCCAACATGGAGAACAGAGCTAAGATGGAGAGAGATTGGGCCCCAATGATATTGAATCTATATACTAAGCTACACACCTCTGCTGGCAAATTTTCTTTTGGTTTCAGCCGATCCGATTTGGGCTTTCTGTCGTTTGCAACCAAAACATCAATCCACAAACTTAATATTTTAATCCCCAGCCATAGACCAGTTCTTTTTCTAAAAATACTTGCACAGTGTTTGCTAATTTCTAAATCTTCAACTAACAACAATTATCAAATTTCAAGAGCATTAAAAATAACTTAAACATCTACCCTAATGCTAACAACCTCAACATATTTTTATACAACAGAATTGATTGCCTAAAATGTGACAAAATTAACCCAAGAGAGCACTGGGGAAGCATTTTCAAGGTTACCTGTGGATGAGATGCTTTACTCAAGTGAATATCTCATTTCATACGCTCCTGATCTGAAAGGTCAAGAACCAAACTTCACTGTGGAGGGTGGGTTTTCTACATCTTTATTGAGCCCTGATTTTTTTTTCACCAGAAATTGTGGAGTTCTAGACTTTTAGGCTTGGATATGCAAGACTATTTACTTCAAATTTTGTTATGTGCAGCATGGGAAAGCCACCACAAGTGGATCACAGCTCTTGATTGATGACTTCATGGTCTAAATAATTCCCATACTCATGCTTAATTGAATCTCAGTTTATGAAAGAGGGGGTTGCCAAACTGACTCAGACCAAGTCTGGCCCACTGCCTATTTGTGTAAATAGAGTTTTATTGGAACATATCCATGCCCATTCACGTAGATACTCTCTAAAGCTGCTTTTGTATCACAACAGCAGAGCTGAGTAGTTATGACAGCCCCACAAAGCCTAAAACAATTTGCTACCTGGCCCTAAGCAAAACAAGTTTTCTCACTCCTGCTCTAGAACACCGGCACAAACACTTGACTTTTAGTCACTCAACTTTGAAAGTCTTCAGCATATGAATTTTCATCTTTAATTATAAAACATAAGTATGATTTAAATAAATCATTTAAACTAAGTGCTTTTTAAAGACTCCTATTTCCTCCTCTTCAGTTAGATCCTGCTTTTACCTCTCAGAGCTCAACAGACTCCAAACTTTTCTTTGAGTTGACTCCTATAGACCACAGGCAGGATTTCAGGGCTAGTTACCAGAAGTCATCAAAAAAACATTTTCTCTACACGCCTCTGTAACTAAATGCTTCTGCTAATCCTTCGGCTTATCTTTGTCTTTCGGTGTCCAAGCCCTTCTTGGACAAACAGGGCCAAGGGAAGAATATGCAGTGCGGGTCCCAGGAGCCTAGACTGGACACCTCCATGGGATGGACCCAACCTGGGGACTACCAACCCATGTACCCAGAGGACAATATTCTAGAGGCCTTCTGAGCAACCCATGATTTACCCTGTTACTGCCTAGCCATTTGAAGTTCCGGGAAATCACAGGGTCCCTGATTGGTGTAAACCAGAAACTGAGTTAGCATTCTTAGTCGCAAGCCACTCTAGAAGGGACTCACCGGTTTGCCGACTCTTCAGGCAGAGGGGACTGATCACAGACCCAGGAGGGAGAGCCATACTCATGAGGCTGTGGGTTGCTGGGCAGCATCCTGGAGACCAAGAGCCTCTCTGAGGTAGGTGTTCAGGGGGGCCTCCTGGGCTGCATGAGGGGGGTCCCACAGAATACTAAATGGCTTGGGCAGATCCAGGGCCGTCAGCAGGATGAAGAAAGCAGGTGACATGGATTCATTTCTGATTCACAGGAGAATACTAGAAAGAGGGGCATAGAGAGTGGATTTGAGGTTCCCTCTACCAGACTTGGAATATCTTAAAGAACTGATCCTCTTCCTGGAGAGGGAATGGGCAGTTCTGAAAGCACCTGCCAGGGGTCCGCCTCTAAAGCAGAGGGATTTTTTTTTACAAGAACAGCAGCCCCGGCTGGCACTTGGCAGGTGTCATGTCCATCAGGCAGGGGCATCTCTACCTGAGGCAGGAAAGACTGGGGGACCCCAGTCCAACAGTCAGGGGGGCTCAATGCAGAAACTGAGTTCAGGGCAGGTTTCTGGACCCACAGCAAAGCTGGAGTGAACAAGGTGTAGCTCTAAGACCACTCTTTAGAA